ATCCAGCTTCACCTCGAGCTACTCCTTAACTTCAGCAGTGCTGTCTGAAGAAGATCCTTTGGCGTCTTCAGCTGCTCTTTTACTTTCTTCTTGATTGAGATTTTCATTTTCGGACCTGGTCCCATTAGGGACAGAGTTTTCACCGTTTACAAGCCCGTTCTCTGTGGCCTGTGCTTTGCTGATGGCCTCTCTGATGTTCAAAGCATCCTGCACTCCAGCCTCCTCCTCGAGGTTTCTCAAGACCAGGGGGAGCCTCGAGTCCCCCACGCTGCTCTCCAACAGCCCAAGGTTACCCTCTTCATATTTGGGAAGCGGAGCCTTTTCCTCCATCTGCTGGCGGTAGAATTCCCGGTTGACAGCTGCACTCTTTACTGCTTTTTCCAAAATCTCTTTCTCACCTAAGCGCAATTTGATGGCCATTTTTGCACGAACAGAAAGATCCTGGTTTTTCAAGACGGATTTATCTTCCTGGAAAACAAAAAAGAGCAAAATTAATTACAAGAAGTCTAAATCAGCAAAACTATAGAGACAGAGGGCACCACGGCTGTGGCTGGGGACATGAGGGAATTTTTTGGGGTGACAGGAGGTTCTAACACTTGACTGGGCAGGTGGTCACATGACCAGACACTCACATCAAAATGTATGCTTCAGAAGTGTGCCTTTTATTGTATATAAATTATATCTCAATGAAACTGTTACAAAACCAGAAAGAAGAGCCTAAATCAAACAGTGCTACCCCATCTGTCAGGGAACTTCACTGATTTAAAACTCATCCTGTCCATCTTGGGCACTGATGTAGCCCCAGGGCAGCACGTGGGTGAATGGCAACAGTGAAGGAACGAATGAATGAGAAAGACGTATTTGAAGTTGGTGACTCAATAGTGAACTTAAAAAGCACAAATGAAAACGTTTGTGAAGTCATGTGAATTAGAAATTATAAAAAAGTATTAAATACTTTAAAAAATATATCTTCTAATAATGCCTAAATATGATTTTTTTTGTTAAACAAATGGAAAATTTCAAATGCAATCATTTTGCTAAACTATTAGAGTAGTTTAGAATTAACAAGAAATCTCTCATTAAACATCTCTTTTTTTTTGAGACGAGTCTTGCTCTGTCGCCCAGGCTGGAATGCAGTGGCGAGATCTCGGTTCACTGCAACCTCCGCCTCCTGGGTTCAAGCGATGCTGCTGCCTCAGCCTCCCGAGTAGCTGGGATTACAGACCACGCCCAGCTAATTTTTGTATTTTTAGTAGGGATGGGGTTTCACCAAGTTGGCCAGGCCTGTCTTGAACTTCTGACCTCGTGATCTGCCCTCCTCGGCCTCCCAAAGTGCTGGGATTACAGGCGCTCTGAGCCACCGCACCAAGTCTCATTAAACATCTTAACAACACAACAAAGTTCAAATCCTCATTAATTTAGTCTAATTACCTCAATAGTTGTTTTGTATGTTTTTAAAAGAAGTGAGGCTCTATCTTCAAGAAACGTCCAAAGTTTGACCTCGTTGTCCCAGCTAACAGGAAATTCCGAGTTCCCCAAGGTGAAGATTCTATCAATAGCGCTGTCTCCCAGTAAGTGTTCTTTCAGTTCTTCTACAAGAAATACAAATGGCAATGCTAGGAGGAAAACACAGCACTCCTTCTCATTTGAACAAGCAATCCACCTTAGAAAATATTGTTTCCAACAATGTCATTTTCCCACAGTAAAAGCTGTCCCTGTGCAATGGGCCAGGACACTCCTAGATTCCCCAAAGTAGAGCAGAGCTAAATTTTGGGGAGCAACACCAGGTCAGGCCTTCTTCATTTGGAGTCCAGATCAAGCCTTGGTAGCACTCCATTTTTCACTGTTTCTATGAGGGACACTGAGAGCCTTTAGACAGTTTCACAAGATACTTTTTAAAGACAGTCGACAGCCATGGACTCCCTATTTTGACAATACCCTTTTTGCTAGCCATAAGCTCAGTAACATCAACCCAGTCAAAAAGGACATTTAGGTGGACAATGTAAACAGTGAAAGGAACTAGAGCCACAACAATCCTGTGAGCCCATAACTGTAAATATGATTGGCACTTATTCTCGTAGGTGACCTGACCAAGCTATTTAAGCCATTTTTGTAACAAGCCACAAACTGAAAGAAACAAGAGCCTCAATCAAACAGTGCTACCATCAGGAGCACTATGAAAATCTGGGTTAACGGGCTGGGCGCGGTGGCTCACGCCTGTAATCCCAGCACTTCGGGAAGCCAAGGTGGGTGGATCACTTGAGCCCAGGCGTTTGAGACCAACCTGGGCAATGTGGCGAAATCCCATCTCTACAAAAAATACAAAAATGAGGCAGGTGTGGTGGCGCACACCTGTAGTCCCAGCTACTCAAGAGGCTGAGGTGGTGGATGCCTCCAACCCAGGAGGTGGTGACTGCAGTGAGCACTGCACTCCAGCCTGGGAAACCGAGCGAGACCCTGTCTCAAAAAAAAAAAAATCTTAGTTAATGAAAAATATGCCCATCTCTCTCACTTGTCAGGAATTTACATAGGAATTACAAATACACACAAGTGAACATCTCAATTATCTCCAAATATATTTAAGAAGAGGAAAGAATTCAGCAACTGCTCTTAGCATTTTATCTCCCGGCACATTATCTCCAAAACCAAAACAAGCCGATCCTATTCATGCTCAAGAAACAGACCCATGCTTCTTATGCGATTAGGAGACAGTGTCTCTTTCAGAGCAAAATGCCTCGCAGCTGTCACTATTTACAATTCAAACTGAAGAACTGCTGCCAGCAAACCAAACTTTTATTAGTATTAGTTAGAGTAATTCAAAGACCCAGCAATTGTCTTGACATGACAAATTGCCTATGACTAGAGAGAAACTAAAGAGAATCAACAGACCTAAAAGGATTCCAGCAGTTTTAAGAAAACAGGCTATCTAATGTTCAAAAAAGAAGTTTATTAACTTGTATTTGTTAGTGAAGACCATGATGAAATTCAGGATTTTTAGTTTTGAGTCTTCATTTTATATTCTTTGTATACAACACGGAAGTTCTGGCTTTTTTTAAGCTTTCTTAGTGGTTGAAAGTGCTTTTCAAAGGCCCCCAATATGAAGGTTACTGTTTCCTTCCTTCATCTCCTCTCTCAATCTGCCCAAGTCGCACTCTGCAACGATGGAAGCTGCAGGTGTGCAGCAGAGCTTTCCCTCCGCTCGTTTTTTAAAAGTGAAACTGGACTCATTTCACATTCCTGGAGAAATAAAGCCTACAAAAGGGGGAGTAAGACAATGTAGCATGTGGCCTGCCTGGAGAGCAGGAGCTGACCGGGAGCTCCTGCAGCAAGAACCCTCCTGAGCTTGCCTCCAGCACACAGGGCCTGCAAATTATCCCTGCCCCTCATTCTGGCCACCATGGTGTATGCTCACTCCAGAGAGCAAAGAGCCCAGTGCCCTCCACCCTCTCCCTGGCTCCTGCTCAAGCTCCTCCCTCTGCTAAAGGTCTTCAGCTACACCCCTCACCTCCTGCTCTACCATGTCCGAACCATCACTGAGCTCCAGGGTTTAACTCAAATGTCTTTCCTCCAGACCCCTAGAGTACTAACACTTTTTTCCATGTACTATGTTATTCTTGAACCAGTAAGAGCAACGTGGGATGTCTGCGCATGGGCTCTGGAGTTAACAGAGCTGGGTTCTAAGTCAGGGTCATTACTTGCTTACTGAGCAACCTTGGCCAAGTTACTTATCCTCTGGGTTTTTTGTTTGTTTGTTTTTAGACAGGGTCTTGCTCTGTTGCCCAGGCTGGGGTGCAGTGGCAAGATCACGGCTCACTGTAGCCTCAAGCTTCCAGGCTCAATCAATCCTCCCACTTCCCAAAGTGCTGGGATTACAGTCATGAGCCATAGCATTCAGCCAACTTTATTCTCTTTTTTTTCCCCCCCTAGCCGGGTCTTACTCAGCCTTTACCTCCCAGGCTCAAACAATCCTCCTACCTCAGCCTCCTGAGTAGCTGGGACTAGAGGCTTGTGCTACCACGCCCAGCTAATACTTATCCTCTTTGAAGTGGAATCTCTACATCAGTAAAATGGGAACACTTATCAATCAAGGCTGATGGGATTAAAATTAAGCATGTACCACATTTAGCATCATACCTGGCACACAGTGAATGCTTCACAAATTCTAGGAATATCATCACCATCACCTCTCTTAATTATAAATTCCTTGAGTATATGAACTGCAACATTTAATTTTGTATCCACATATAAGCAAGAAAAGCTCACAGTTAACTCCTTAACTCGTGTTCATTAAATTGAATTGATGAACCATTACCAAAGTACAAAAAGCACCAACACTCCCACTTGAATAACTGTAAATCTGGGCGATAGGGTTGCTTATAAGGAACAATGACTGTATCTCAGTTTGGGTTCTGCGGTTGGTGTGTGAACTGCCTCTCTCTGTTTTGGAACTAGGTTTTTTCTGCCTCCAGCATGACGTCAAGCCCTCGACTTGTGCAGCACTGCTCCCTGGATCCAGACATTAAAACCAAAGCCAGTGACCGCTGAGCACAGCAGCTTCCCCTGCATGGGCCACGACTGCTTCCTCCGACCAAGGAAGTGCTTGGGCAGCTTCCATCCAGAACACTTTTTTGTCTGTTCACTCAGTCAAACACTCATTTACTCATTCCTACTCAGTCTGTTCAGCACAGGATTTAAGGCAGTTTACAACAGTAACACACACACACACACACACACACACACACACACACTTAAAAATGAAACCTCAGGACCAGGAAATTTGTAAGATACATCTTAGTATGAAAAATAAAAACACAACCATGAGAGGTCAAATGTCAGTATAAGAAACCCCAAATGACTTGTTTTAAGCAAATGCAAAAGTAGATGCTCAATACATATACTTAACTCTTTCTGGGCCTGAAATAAGAGGCTGTAGCCAGGAACATTTTGTGTTCTACGCAGATTCTGTTTGCAATGTTATTTACTCTAACAGGATGCTTGGCATTAAAATGCTTGCTGGCAATTTCAGATTTAGAATGCAGAGTAGGTTAACAAATAAAGTCCTACGGTCCACGTATGCCACAGCTGACTACACAACATCACAGGATCAACTGATCCTGAACTGCTCTATCTAAGTGAAAAAGACTAGTGCCCTGTGAGTGAAATGAGGCTCTGTCAGGCTACAAATGTAGAATTTTGATATATTTACCTGATCCAAGATGCTTTAAGTTTTCCTCAAATGCAGTTGAGAATTATTTGCATATTACAAATTAATATTGACAACACATTGAGGATTTAATAAAACATTTCTAGGGTAAAACAAATCAATTTCTTCTTTCTCCAGTATTGCCATCTTGCCTCTTCCCAAAAGTATTGTAGTTTTAATCCACTTTACCTATAATCCGAACCCCTATGCTTTACACTTCCATGATTTAAAAATAAAAAAGTCAACATCTCTTTTTTCCTGAAATGACGTACCTTCAGTCATGCAGAATACTCGGAGAAAAGCCAAAAGCTGAGCAGAGATGGGCGGCTCCGTAAAATGCAACGCAAAGACGCTGGAACTGACAAAGCAGAAAGCAGCATCAGTCACCCTGCTGCGGCTACCCACCTGCTCCAAAGTGAGATCCCTACAGTCTACAGCACGTGTGGCTGTCCTCAAGGAGAGCCGAGCTGGAAGATCCCAGCTCCTCATCTGAACTGTGAGCATGATTTTCAGCCCTTGCAAAAGGCCACAGGCTGGGGCGGATGGAAGTGGACATCCAGAATTGGAGTCCATCCTCGCCAGCTTTTCCGAGAGCCTGACAGCTGTAATCTCGGGTTGCACACAACACATTCAAAACATTAAACGTACACATGGTTTTTTAAAAGTGTTAACAATAATTTATGTTGAGTTCACACTTTAAATCATTAATCAAATATTGACAAGTTCAATAAAAAAAGGTCTGGATAATCCATTTTCATTAAGAATGGTTCCTCCATTCCCTGGAGAACTAATGAATCATAATTCCTGTCTTCTTTATCATTTTATGCCTCAAATGCAAGAAAATCTTAAGGAATTTAACTAGAAATTCTTGAAATCACTGAGGATCATGACTTCATTACAGAAACTAATGGTAGCAAAGAATTAAATGAAACAAATTGATCCAGGCCATTAACCTTTTCAAGGTGAAAGACATGAACGATACGAAAGTACTTATTTAACTTAATGAGGATTTCAGGCCATATCCCTCAGAACTGACTGTGAATGCGCCCAACGACACAATTATGTTTATCTGAAAACGCTGGTAAGTCACCGAGCGTCGCCATGGCTTAAATTTGCTGTGCCACAGGGATAAACGGATTAAGACAAACTACTGGAGAGAAGTTTTATTAACACACCAATTAAACACTATGCAACTGGAAATAGTTCAAGCACTGCAGGAAAGGGCCAACCAATGGTTTTCTACGTACGTGGGGATGCCGGCACGAGCCAAGACCTCGGCCTTCATGGCGTAGAGTCTGTCACTTTTACTCACTCCAAGCTTTATTTTCACTCTGTCGTGGGAGTTATTGTCAAAGAAAAAACCACTGTGGATCACAAACTCTGCATTGGATCGAGTGCCATAAAAAATGTAAATCTGAGATGCAGTAAAGAAAAAAGAAAAGGGCATGAGACAAACTTGGCGTGTATTCTTAACACAGGGCAGGGCAAAGGCTTAGTGCTCATATATTTAATGCTACTTTACATTAATGACACGAAATAGCTGAAAGTATTGATACACCTGTTTGGCACAGGTTGCAAGGGTGACGCCGTGCAATTTTCCCAACTTCCCAAACCGTCTGAGACCAAGCACCCACTTCCACCACCGCGTGGAGAGGCGAGACCAGGAGAAAGCACCACCAAAGGCCTTACTACTACTCAAAGGACCCCAGGTGCCTGGGGTCACCAGGCCTCTATTATAATCCTCTTCTTTCAAAGCACAGCAAAGCTATTTCTGGAAGACTGCATTTTAAAATTCACCAAGTTCTTCCCATCCTTTTAATACAGCAGGGTCTTTTCTGGAACTGTAAAGCAGTATCTGTCAGAAACTTATTTCTAGATCCTGTGGCAATTAATCCTGCACCTAGCAGGTGGGTTTATAAACTTTTCTAAAGAAGGAACAGATCAGTACTTTGCTAGACAAATATTTTTCATTTTGTCTCAACTGGAATGTCAATTACGGATGTGAGTTCCATGTCTGTACTGTCTGCTTGGGTGTAGACTGATAGAATGTGGGAATTTATAGACACATATTTTCAAACTCACCCAAAGGCTTACCCCTCCTCCCACCCAAACTACTAGATTAAAAAATCTGAGATTAAAGTGAAAGTGTAAGACAACAGATTCCCTTGCTTTTGCCCCTTAAATACTCTTATAAAGAAGAAAAAATAAATCAGTAGAAAAAATAAAGGCAACACAGTTTATGAAATTTTAAAAATTGTTTTAGTGTCATAACACACTTTATTTTTAGTTAACAGTGTTATAAATATTTACAAATATTAGGCCAATTGTGCCAATAACTGTGTTTAAATACTTTTCTCTGTGGACCCAAAGCACAATGCAGAGCACAACAAGTGAGTGAAGCACAAGTGAACATGTGTACTACGGGTTCAGGTCTCAAGATGCATTCCAGAAAAACAATCCTCAATTTGAATTCCACATTTTTTTTCCTAAGTTCCTTTTTAAGACTACCAACACAGTGTTAACTTAGTGCCCAATGGCTGATTCACATTTTGTGAGATGCCACGAGACCCACCTGCTCTCCAGCCCGGAAATCCTGCAGAGCCACACACTCACAGCGGTCATCTTCCAGGTTGTAACCGGTAGTGATCTAGCCCCGGGAGAAGGAAGGAAATGATGGTGAGGCAAACACCTGCACATTTCACTTAATCATGAACTGGTTTCTGGCAAACACATGCACATTTCACTTAATCATGAACTTGTTTCTGGCAATCAGAGGAGAAAGGGGATCCAAAGGTACCCAAAAGGGTGCATCTGAGTGCTTTGGAAAATGGGGCAAAGAACTGCTTGAGCACTGAGGTTAACTCTAGTTACATCAGAGATGATTATGCAAAATTACACACCTGAAATAAAGGAAGTACGGTTGGATAAAGAGACTGTAGTATCACTTGCTGGACTCAACAAAACACAATCGCCTCTGGGCCTCCCTGGCAGCAGTGAGGGCAGTAAGCCCACAGGCCACGCCTCCCACAGGCGCACCTAAGCCTCCTTTCAGTTCACTGATGACCTGCACTACCCTCATTTGTTTGCAAGTATTATCTTTATGTAATGTTTGGCCATTAAGAAACCAAAGTGGGTTTTCCATTGGATAAAGAATCAGGGAAAACAAAAGCTCTATTTCTGAATTATGGATATATGATCTGAATTAAAGAAATTAAAACTTTCAAGCATGCAAAGGCAAAATAAAATAACTTTGTTGTTTCTTATTCCCTCTATTTCCGCTGAGAAATATAATGTGAGAGTTTCTAGGTCCATTAGAAATAAACATAGAAAACCCTCTCACTACACCCCAAAACTGCGTCTCCTTCTAAGCTCTCCTATCGTAGTGAAGGTCAGCCAATGTCATGGCCTCTGGACACAAGTTACAAGGAAACCCTCACATCTCACCTGGTCAGCATTTCATCTAGTAAATACTACCATTTGGATGACTTTCTTCCTCATTCCTCTGCGTGGCTAGAGTCCTTATTCCTTCTCGCCTAGCTTGTTTTTTGCAAAAACCTTCCAACTTTTGGGACCTAGTCTCAAAATCCAATACTGTCCTTCCGGAGTTGCTAATTGTACGATGTCACTCTCCTGTTCAAAATCTTCCTATGATTCCGCTCTACCTTCGGAATAAACCCCAAGTTCCTGAGCACGGCCGAATACGGAGGCAGCTCACGCTTCCCTCCAGCTTCAGGAACTGCCACCCACCTGCCGCCCCAGTTCCCTCCAGCCTGACAGTTCCTTCTACTCCTGTTGTGGCCTGGCTTCTCGGGGAACCCCTCCTCACCCCACCCTCCTGCGCACTCCCACAGCCCAGTCCTTACACCCTCCAGCCCAAGTCATGTCATCTGTGCACCTGTCTCCCCATCAGTCAGACTTGAAAGCCAGAGCCCCTTGTTGATCTCTGTGTCCCGAGTGCTCAGCACACAGAACCTAAAACCTGAAGTGGCCTTTGGGAATATTCACGTGATGCATGAACCCCCAGGGGAATGGAAAGGGTCCCCAGCTTCTATTAAAAGCTCCTTCTCAGAGTCCTGTCTTTTAGAGCAGTGCCCAATCTCTTAGATTGTCTCCTGATGGTCACTGATTACTTTTTGACCTACTCACTTTTTTTTTTTTTTTTTTTTTTGAGACGGAGTCTCGCTCTGTCGCCCAGGCTGGAGTGCAGTGGCCAGATCTCAGCTCACTGCAAGCTCCGCCTCCCGCCATTCTCCTGCCTCAGTCTCCGAGTAGCTGGGACTACAGGTGCCCGCCACCTCGCCTGGCTAGTTTTTTGTATTTTTTTTTTTAGTAGAGACGGGGTTTCACCGTGTTAGCCAGGATGGTCTCGGCCTCCCAAAGAACTGGGATTACAGGCTTGAGCCATTGCGCCCGGCCTGACCTACTCATTTTATCCTGGAGAATCAAAGACTCACAGCAGCCACAAGTGCTCCTTGCTAATAAGGCATCAACAGCTTGGATTCAAAAGATGACTTTTGAGTCTAGGGAATGGCATTTTGGGATGGAAGGCCATATAACACGAATCTTTAAACTCAATATCCCAAGAATAAATATGGTTTATTAACCTTATGTCTAAGAGTCCTTCAAGGTTCTGATCTGCAAAGACCAATGAGAAATAGGCAGCAATGAGAAATAAACGAAGCCAAGTATTCTAGAACATTTCACTCGCAGAACATTTTAAACACTTCAATTGTATTAAAATCAACTCCAGGAAGTTCCTGCCCAACACTGGATGTACTTTTCTGACCCCAAAACATCACCTTGACAACAAAGTGGAATGAGAAACTGCCCATATGGGAAACTCCCAGGAGGGAATCCAGGCACTCCAGGGTGCTGGCGGTACAGGTACACAGGGACCTGCCAGCAGCACAAACAGGAGGAAAGTTAGAGGAAGGAAGAGAAAATTGAGGGAGATTGTGGAGAAAGGATTATGGGTGTTTAAGGGTATTTTACAGATTATTTCCCACTCTCGGCAGACGTCAAGCTCCAAGATATGGCTTAACATGTCCACAGCAACCCTGACAGGCAAACAGGCTGGATCCCGCCCCAGTCTGTAGCCCTTTCTCAGCAAGGGTCAGAACGTTTGGAGGCTGAGTGTCTAACTGCTTTGTGTGGCACTGCCAAACACTTCCTCTAGGATGGTATCAAAGTGTGTCTCAATGCAAAGAACCGCAGGCGGAAGCACAGGCCTCGCCTTTCCTTTGCGTGAAGCCAGGTTTCTAGAGGACTCTCTCAGAGCAGAGCCCTCCCAGGGCGGGCCTGCAGAGGGGTCTTCCAAGGCTGTTAGGACCCCACTGCTCAGCAAGGGCCTTCTGGCAGGAGCCCCAGGAACTTCCCACCTACGCCCAGAAATCTGCAGCCACTGACCAGGTCTGACTTGAAGCCCGACTAGGAAGGGAGGGTTTGGGAGGGCCAGGGCTGGTGCAGGGGCAGCCTCCTGACGTCAAGCAAGGACAGGGTCCTTCCACCTCCTTCTTGCCCAGCTCCACGTGCCGCTTCCTGCCTCCCACACTGCCAGCTAACTTCCCTTCTACAAATATTGAGTGTCATCCTATGCCAGGCCCTAACCTAGGCAACTGAAAAATGGCATGAAAAATCTCAGTCCCTACCCATAGGGACATCTAGTGGGAAAGAGACATAGGGAGAAAAAAATTTATGTATATACGTATATATAAAAGCACGTGGAACTGAGAATAGCCCCACAGGAGCCTCAAGTGTGCCCAGGGGAGGTGAGCGGGTGGCAGCCGGAGTTTGTTGGCAATGCTGGAGGAGGAACCCAGCAGGGAGTGGAAGCCTCCAGCAGCTCCACGGAGCCCTACTCCCTGAAAGCCACCTCCTGCCTGCGGCGCACACCACTCACGTCTATGGCTGGTTTGGTAACTCGACGGCACACTTGGTGCACAGCTGTATTCTATTTTCCATATTAAAAGTAACATAGGAGGAGGAGCATGATATACACACACATACATTCCTAAGCTGGGAACAGAGGGAAGATCTGTAGATCATTTACATTTTCTTTTCTGTGTTTTTCAAATTTTCTTCAACAAATATGTATTATATTGATTTCATGGTGGAAGGGGGAAAAAGTAATACAGGGTCATCAAATAAAATTTGGAAAATATTTTTAAAAAACAAAGAAAAAACAGATCACAATCACGTTAACATTTTGGTTTATTTCTTTCTGATCTTTTTGCCTAGGCGTGGGGTTTTCACACTCATTTATTCACCACTCATGAATTCATTAAAAAAATACCAGGCACAGGGATATAGCAACGAACAAAACAGACCCTCCCCCAAAATCACCTGCGTTCATGGCTCTTCCATTCTAATGGGAGGCAGGGGGTGAACCAACAATAGTTTGTTTAAAAGGCAGAAACAGAGGATCTGGACAACAGAGGGAAACGCAACAGGACAGGGCAGCCGGGTGGGTGGGCTGGAGGCGCAGTCATTCTACACAGGGTGCTCAGGGCAGCCACGCTACAGGAGGTCTACGAGCGAGTCCCATAAGTGCCTAAGGAATGGGGGGTTTTAGGCAGAAGTGACAGCAAGAGCGAAGGAATCTGCTGGTGTCTGAGGAACAGCGGGGAACCAGAGGTGAGTCAGACCTGTGTGCACGGAGGGTGTGGGGGGACAGGCTGTTGGGAGAGACTTGTCTGCTATTGTAAAAATGGACTTTTGAGACTGTCAGACTCATCTAAATCTAAATGTTTTAGATTTTCTTTTCAATATACAAACAGAAGGACCTTGAAAAAGAACTTCCCTCCGTTGTGCTTGGATTTCCAGCTGCCCTTTCATCCCACCTGGTAGAGTCGCAGATCCAAATGCAAGCGCTGATTATTCCAACATATTCTCTGTAAGGGAACTAATACCACTGTCTATCAGTCACTTAGAAGTGTCCTTCTCATATCAACCGAAAAACCCTCAACAAAGGAAACCTGCTGCTTACATTAAGTTTGAACAAATCATGCAAGATATAAAGATACGTTGTTTCTTCCAGCTTAGTACCATACCTTATAACCCTTTCTACATTTATTTCTCTGAGTGGCTAGGAAATTAGTTCATATTCACCAGAATCTCTAGCCTAGGTGTTCATCCAGCCCCTTACTTTCTTTAGCATTTCCTTGCTGTCACTGGTTTGGAATTACTGTTACTGACTTGATTCTTCTGTTTCTACTACCATAATCAGGTTTTTGGGATATTGTTAGAAGCAGACAGCGTTGCTGGGTTACAAATTCTACCTACTCCCTGAGTGATAGTCAGGGTAGACTGACAATAAGATGATGATCGTCAGGATAGACGCACACAAAAAAGAAAATCTCTTGTCTTAAAAGGCGAGCCTTGATTTCAAGACTTTATTTTTAAAAAGACATTAACTGTAACACGTATCATATACAACTCTGTAGCGTTAAAATAGAATTTCTCAAATTCTACCCCAGAAAATTTCCCATGAAGTCTTATAATTACAATGGGAAACAGTTCAGCAAGAGTGCAGAGTGCAGAATGTCAGGAACATAACCACTGTAAGACAAAGTGCCAGCATCCTGAATAAACCTTCTACAGGTTAGCACTGCTTCTGCCAGGACTGTGGCAGGTTAAAAAGTACGTAAGTCGTATTAGGGAAAATACAGCATTGGTTGTCATTAATTTATTACTTTTATTTTGAGATAAACTAACCTTTTTTTTTTTTTTTTTTTTTTTTAACATTTGGTAGGGGAAAAGGAATTGTTTTATCCTATTTACATGGAAGCCAAATAAAAATCAATGTGCAGACGAGTGTGTGAGGTGCCAATGGATGGAAGCTTTGCTAGGGACCACGGTGGCCTGGTGGTGGTCTCAGTGCCACCAGGTGGGCCATGAGGCTGGGGGTAGGGCACTGCTCACCTTACTACAGAGGCTCCTGTGTTAATTCTTTTTGTTTAGAGTAAAACCAAGCATTAATGCTTTAATTTTATTAAAAAGAACTCTAATAATCAATTGAGTTTGAGAAAAAATGATCCAATTCAAAAAAAGAAAAAGAAAAATACTACAGTCAGGTATTAAAAGCTATTTGAAGATTTTTTAAATTTCAAGCTTATGATCAATTAAAAATACCTCTGAAGAAAAAGAAAACAAAAAATGTAAAAGTATATTCAATGAAAATAAGTTATAAAACACGCTATTATGTCTTAGTATTTATTACTAATTAAATTAAGCATATCTAAAGGTAAAAATGTAATTACAAAAGTGGAACTATTCTTTCTTGCCACAATTTAAATACTTTTAAGATTCAAGAGCATACTTGTTGCTAGACCTTCCCAAATTAGCACTAGGATATTCTGCCTTCAGTGTCTGGCGCACACTACGTGTGTTCTGGCCATTCTGGGGAATTCAATGTGAAATAATCATTCATGGCATTTCTTTATTCTATTTATAATACTGCTAATCACAAGGAAAGCTGACAGAGAAAAGATGAACATAAAACCTAATCAAACAGTATACTAGTATAAAGTATGATATTTCAAAATGATCCGAAATGTATCATATTTCTGCCTACTAATATCAGGACATCTTTATCAGACAACTCTCTCACAGAGCACAGAGCGCTTCACCCATGCTGCTGCCTGGAATTCGAAGAATGTGGAGAAACAGAGCCAGCCTCCTCCTCTTCCCAGCTGTGGGAAACCATAATAATACAATTTCCTCCTCCCCAGGCTTCCCAGGTGTGATGATGCCAGCTGACTCCTGCATTCAAAGGCAAGGAGCCGAAGGCACCAGCCCCTCCTCCCACCCCACAGGCCCTGTAACAAAAACAGGTTCATAAACATGGTCAGGGGAAGGGACAGGGACGAGAAAGAATCAAAAGTACAGAACTGGAAACAAGACAGTCAGCAAAGAAGACACAAAAGGAAAAATGAGAAATACGATTTTTTCCCCCAATAAATGAGCATTTTAAAGAGAATAAGTAAAAAGAAACTTTGGTTAGTCTGTGGTACAATAAGATAAGAAAATGAATGCTGAGGCTGGAATTATGGCTTAGCAAATACACGTAGTTCACTGCGGCTTTTGAAAATGGTATAAGATTCAAGCTCCCAGTTTTCCGTATTAGTCAATGCAGTAAAAGAAAAATACCAGCTTCTATTTGTGGGCGGTGGGGAGGAGTGGCCGGTTTGGTTTTGTTTGTTCCTTTTGAAGGGAGGCAGCAGGGGGGAGTACGATGGGTAGGTGGAATAACAGCCCCCTCCCAAAGCTTAGCAACAACAGCCTCCCAGATTCAACACAACACAGGAGAAGAGGTCGTTACCAGGCCGTTGGTGTGGTTACACATGTCCCATAAAGGAATCAGAGCCAGGGTCACCCGGGAACCATCCTCTGTGGGAATTTGGTTTTGCCTCGTCATAACAGAAGAGACTGCCCACCTATAACAAGACAAATGGTGATTTAAGGTTGGAACATTTAAAAGCCAATTGCAGTAAGAAATAACATAACCAAAAATTTAGGTCTGACCTCTTACAAACGTACAAAGTCTTTTCCTAAGTAACAAAGGTGATGTTTGGTCTTCATCATTATTTAAAAACAAACCCAGGGTTTTAAAAAGAGCCAGGGGAAATGCAGGACTGAGTGCTTAAGGGAGACTGTTCCCAAGAGGCAGAGCCGGAAAGAGGGCTTTGCGCAGGGCTCAGGCCCCTTCCTGGGTCTTCATGACTCACAAAACCTACTCCCCTACACCCCCCAACCCAACCCGCTTTTGCCCAAATGCTGACTCTGCACCTATTTTAAGCCTCATTGAAAAGCAAACCATAAAACTCCTTTCTGATCAGAAATCCTCTATGAATTGTAAGAAATGTAAAACGTGACTTTTTTATTACACTGTGCAGTGAATTAAATCTCTCCGTTCAAAAAAAGTCCCCATTTTACACTAACAGAGTCTTTTTTAAATAAGAAAAGAAAAATCCATAGGACCACCCTACACTAATGTTAATCTCAAGTAGCATTTGGCTACCTCAGCTAATCCCCTGCCATGACAGGTTAATGGCAATTTCTATGTGGCTATGAAAATGCCGATACTCATCCAAGCTGCTCATGATAACTTCTGAAAGAGGAGCTCTGTTCGGATGCTTTAATGGTCACAGCAGGTCACTTCTCACTGAAGCCTTTCCCTCCCTTCCAGGATCCCACTTCACTGAGAAACCACCCCCAACACACAGGCACACACACAGCCCACACCAACCTGTAGTCTTCATAAGTGAAAGAATCCTTCAAGGGCAGTTTGTTGGCATGAGGATGGGTCTGGGAATTAGAAGTTTTAGAAAGCAGAGGTGAAAAGAGAAAAAGGGAAAACAGAAATCAGTCAGCGGAATTTCATTATTTAGCTGCCTAACAGATCCTAACAAGAGCCAAATGAAGCAGGCGGCGTCCAGCCGCGCTACAGAGGGATCATCGCACTGTTATGCTCTCATACATCACTGTCAACTTAATTTGTTGTGCCCAGCAGCCGCCATAAATCTGCTTCTTCATATTTCGATACCAGCACCCACGGACACCGCGCAAAACACAATTTAAGGTGGACCGACTTTACAAAAGGCAGGCACACCCACGCGATGAGCACTGGATTTAAGCAGAAACGCGAAGCCGCCCAAGCCAGGTCCGTCCTGGCCCCGCTCTGTACCTCATGCCATGATGTACCACACAGGCCTTCTGAGAGGGTTCAAATCCCATGTCAACAAAAGGAACAATTAAAGGCACTCTAATCAGTTGGAAGCTCTTTCATTTCTCTCTGACTTAAGTCATTTGATGGGAATCAACTTGGTGTTTGCACATGAATCATATACACGGCAAATGCGGATCAAGCACGGAAAATCAGGAGAAGTGCAGGTTTGTGAGATTATAAAATAAACTTCACAAACACACAGGATAACGACAACAGATCAGCATATTTAAATTTTACTTTTTTCCTGGACAAGAGAATATTTGGTAAAAATACTAAAACTTCACTTTTAAGAGAAATTATATAGATTTCATATTCTCTCTTTACCATGTCCCCCACCTTAGGCCTTTCAAGCACTTAAAAACTTTGTCTCAATTAAGAAATTAAAAGCTGTAACAGTATAATTTTAATCTTCAGTTTCAATTACAGTCTGATAGATTGTAGTAAGTGATCAAACGAACAAATGGTTATTTCTGAGATACAAATGAAATCCTGCTGAAGCCGGGTCTCCGCACCACTGTTAATGCAGGAAGCTCCATGTAGCCTGCAGTTTTCACTCCTGATGCATTGGCATCACAAGTGCACTGTAATTTATCATCGCTCACTGTAATGTACTCGCTGGCACCCTACACAGGACAGTAGGGGATGAGGTAAAAGTAGCTAAAACCGTAAATCAATTAGAAAACAAAAGCTTGTGCTCAGTGCACAATTTTAGGCAAATTATGTATTACAAAAGGCTGCCAATTGGGTGTTAGCTCCCAGGTGCCCGTCTCTCCCCCTTGAGTCTTTTAGCCCAGTTTTAACCCTTTGGAAGAAATGTCAAAATATAAAAATATATTCACATAATTATTTTTTTTTTTTTTGAGATGGAGTCTCGCTCTGTTGCCCAGACTGGAGTGCAGTGGCGCCATCTCAGCTCACTGCAACCTCAGCCTCCTGGGTTCAATGGATTCTCCTGCCTCAGCCTCCCGAGTAGCTGGAACTATAAGCGTGTGCCACCACACCCAGCTAATTTTGTGTGTGTGTGTGTGTGTGTGTGTGTGTGTTTTTAGTAAAGACGAGGTTTCACCATATTGGTCAAGCTGCTCTCGAACTCCTGACCTCGTGATCCTCTCGCCTTGGCATTCCAAAGAGCTGAGATTACAGGCATGAGCCACCATGCCAAGCCGGCTATTCACATAATTTTTAAAATGTGTTCTGTGATAAAAAATGAAATTAATACAGGCATATTGTAAGTCAACATATAAAATAACATACTGTCCAGGGGCATTTTCTAGCTGATACAGGAAGATGGGGAAATCCTACGGCGGGAGGGGGCTGGGAGGATCACCAACTTGGTGAAGACAGGTGAGAATCCTACAGGATTGAAGCTTCTCACTCCCTTTTCTTTTTTTTTTTTTTAAATTTTATTTATTATTATTATACTTTAAGTTCTAGGGTACATGTGCATAACGTGCAGGTTTGTTACATATGTATACTTGTGCCATGTT